CTATCCCATTGGGAATTCTAGGAGACTACCACTTTCTCTTCAATTTTCCCTCCATGTCCGAGGCAGAAGTGGGGCTAGAATCAACGCACAGCATGGTTTTGCCAAGTGGCTGTCAGTCCAGTTTAACTATATCAATAACATAGTTGATTAGTATGCATTGCAGATATTGTCCCCCTTGAAACTTTATTGTATTGATATTTTATATTAAAATTCCTAAATTAACTTAGAACTTCTCAGAGGTTTTTAAAAATCATTAATTCTGATACTATAGGTTGATTGAGCTTATGGAACACTGTAGTATTTTCTTTCCCAGTTCTGCTTTTTTCTGAGATACAGTCTCAATTAATTCATTGTAACAAAAAGAGAACTTCAGCCAACCAATGCATTTGATAATAAGTAGGAAGGTGTTCTAAGGACAAGGTTTTCCTTTCCCATGCAGAGGGATGATAGTAAAGTGTGCTTCTGTTGGAGCAGCAGAGAGGAAAAAAATAGCAGCAGATCTTACATACTTTGCAATTATCAACCCAGCATAAAACAGTAGCAAGACCCAAGGCTTATCATATGGCCCATCTCAGAGATGCTTGCTTACATCTTCACTAGTTTCTTGTCTTGGATTGCAGATTTCTCAAGGCAGGCCCAAAACTCTTGCCAAAGAGTTCTCTGTGCATAGTTGAGAGCTTGATTAAAATGCTATCATTTCAGAAATAAAAATAACCTTATTCTTAAAATCAATAGTTAATGGATTAAATATTACTCTAATCTTCTATGAACCAAGTATTTGTTGGATTGGTTTATTCCCATTTAGAAAGCTTTCAATAAAGCAACCTAAAGTGTTGTTTTAACTTGTTTACTTCTATACAAGACATAGATAAGGATGGGTTTGTTATTGTATTTATTATGAAAATCTGAAAAAATAGCACATATTACCAGAACTAAAGTTAGATATTGCAAACAAGAGAAAAAGCAAGTGCAAATACAAAGCCCAATTGAACTATTGTTTCAGTATATTAGCCATTTTACTGATATCTAATAAACAAGCCAGACCCTTTGTTTACAGCTGAGTTTCTCAAGAGTACAGAAAGCGCTTCAATAGGAGTTTATGGAAATTAATTAATCTGGATTCATGCCATTAGTCTGACTTGCAGTTTCTTTGCCTTGTTTGCTTTAATGCATAATATAAGATGAAGCGCTTAACCAGGCTAGAAACGAAATAATAGTAAGCATTTAAGAAATGGTGTAAACATCAAATTCAGTGAACCATAATTGTACATGCCAAACTGGGATATCCGTATCTGTTTCACATGTGTATTACTGAGAAAACTCTCTGTACCTATGTGTATTTTATTGCAAGCAGCTATAGCAAGGACTATTGCCTCACTGTCCAAAATAGGTCGTTCCACCAACATGAAAATATGGCTTCTTCTCCAAAGAGCTTGTACTGCCGTTTTCACTGTGTGAAAACCACTCAATGACTTTAAAAAATAAGGGCCTTGATAGTTCTTATTTTGAACTGGAAATCAGTATTTTAAACTCTATACAAATTTTGTATAAAGAAATTTCTGAAGTGGATTGCTGTGGAAAAACAGCTTTAATCCAAAAAATTTAACAGGGACCCAAACATGACAATCCAAACAATTTGTCAGCTAACGTCCATTATTGCTACTAGAGAAACAAACAGAGAAATTGGCCCATGATATTTATTTTAGACAGAAAGAAGCAAAATACTCAATATATTTAATGTTTTTATTCTCAGCAAAATACTACAAGCAACTGGATCAAAAGATTGTTCTTACCACATTATCATAAATGCAGAAGTTGCTTCCGTAACATAGAAGATAGTTTAAGGATAGCAGTTTCAAGGAGGGGGGAATGTCTGCTTTGAAATTATTGCAAAATTATTAGGAGGCAGAGGAAAGACACCTTGCAACAGCAAGGAGGAGCAATACTGTTTCAGAATTTTAGGATATAACTCAAAATGCAAAAAATTGAAGCAAATCCTGAAGCAGCAGATTCATGCAGAATATTACAGCAAAAATGTTTTGCCTTTGTGTGACTGTAGTCATTGCTCTTTCCAAGTCTGAGCCAGATTGCATTGAACCAGCTCAAATGTTAGTCTATTTAGCCTCCTATTACTTCATCTGAGGTTCACATGGGCAGAGCTCATGTGTATATGTCCTAATGGAAGAGGGTAGGTATTCCACATTTAGGTATTAAATTTAGTGTTTCCATCTTCTGGTGTGCCCATTATATCTGCTCACTTTTCCCACCTCAGATCTTCTTCTATAGCTGTTTATCCTCCAGATCAAATCAATTATGCTAAAAATGGTCTGTACCACTCATCATCAACAGAAAGATTATGCAAAGTTGACTAGGGAATCATTCCTGGTAAAATATTCTGCCCCCTTTTGTACAAGGTCTTTTTCCAGGATTTTTTTTTAATATGCAAGTCAACTCAGGAAACTGGAAGCAAATTCCAATAGCAGTCAGGAAGAAATTTTTTACAATGAGGGTGGTCAAACACTGGGACAGGTTGCCCAGGGAGGTGGTAGATGCCCTGTCCCTGGAAACATTCAAGGTCAGGTTGGATGGGGCTCTGAGCAACCTGATCTAGTGGAAGATGTGCCTGTTCATTGCAGGTGGGTTGGACTAGATGACATTTAAAGGTCCCTTCCAACCCCAAAAATTCTATGATTCTATGATTCTCTATCTTATTTGCATTAGGTAACTCCAAAGACACAGTTCTGATGCTGTTCTGTGCATGGGTTCTGTGCAAGGAGTTTGAAAGCTAACTATTACAGAATGTAATTTTACAAGAGAAGGCACTTCCTTAAAAATATCTGCTACTGGATTTTTTTCTTTTTATGGAGAGCAGATACAGAAATCTATAAAGGCCTAGCACTGTTAATTGAGTTCTGTTCTGCCTCCTGCAATGTCAATATCTTGTTTTGAGTTCCAAGATCAAAATTCTCATTATTTTTCATAGCAATGAAGAAGAACACAAAATCAGAACCAGGGCTTACACAGCTTATCCTTCAAACTAGCTTTTTAAACATTATTATTACTATTATTATTATGATAATGTCACAAAGAGGAGTCCTTTTGTAGAAATGGCTATATGTGGCTCCATCTTAATTGTATTTCTGTGGGTTTTCAAACTAGACTACCATACTTGGGGGCAGGGGTAGGAGGGGGAAGCCATCAGTTCTCCCCTTCCTGCTATTTCCTATTCATTATGAAAGAAAATTCATCTACAATTAGAGCAGAAATTTACAGTTCTGGTTAATGTGCCACATTGTTCCCATCTCCATAGGCCACCAGTACAAACCCCAAAGGTTTTGGGAAGGACTGACAATACTTAAGTTAGCAAGACCAGACAACACTTCCAATTCAACAAAATGAGTCAACTCAAAAGTATGTAGTTGAATTCCAGAGAGACAGTCTTCTGTCAGTCTTCCATTGGAGCATAAATACACATTCAAGTAAGAGAAAGAGGACATTTAAATAAACACACATAACTGCAAATATCATGATGCTCATTACAGCACCTGCAAGAGAGGAGATGTTTGCTGTGATATTTCAATACAATCAGAAATCCACTGGATTCAGCTTTTTAATTATCTGCTTTGATTATCACAGGGTGATTTGGCTCAAAGTCTAGTGCTAGGTAATAATCCTTGGTTTCTTAAAAAACAGTTTCTGTTACTACTCCTGTTGGAAGGAAATGTTAAGACCATGGATTGCTTTCCACTTACTTCTGCTACTGGAATGAAACTCCACCCCTGTGAGAATACAAAAAACCCTGAAATGACAGTCCATTTCTCTGAACATTTCTCCATTTTTCTTAAAGTGGCCCTAGGCAGATGGCAAACTGACACTGGCACAGCATCATGCCTGGAAGAGAACTGTGTGGATGGCTCAGTTGTTCATTGGATAGTTTTAGACTTTCAGAGAGAGAACACGCACCAGTTTCTGAAATGCCTCTGCAATGGCTCTTATTCATCTATCCAACATTTCCTGTCCATCCCTTTCAGTGCTGTATTGTAGCCTTGATGGCTCAGTAATAAGTCAGAGAACTATGGTTCAGAATCCTACTCTTCCACAGAAAACAAAAGACCAGCTTCAGCTCACTTGGGACGTTAATAGCTCTGATGAAATTTCACACTACTGAAAGTCATCTAACGAGGTCATACATGCTTTCATTAGGAGAAGAAGTTCCCACTTTAGATCCTTCAGAATTCTCCCAGGAATAGCAATCACTGCTTTGCAAAAGCTTAAAGTGCATTCATGTGACAACAAAATAAAACAAACAAACCAACCCACCAGAAAACAAAACAAAACAAAACAAACAAACAAGCAAACCAAAACCAAACCAAACCAAAACCAAAACAGTCCTGCTAAGATAGCAAAGTTGACAATGCAGCTAACAGAGACTGCCTTTCTTCAGAGGGCAAAATCTGTCAGGCCCCGAATGCCAGCTAAGTAGTTACAGTCCTTTTGATCATCACAGTGTCAGCAACTACCTTCATTCCTGAGCTTAGTTACAGGGGTTTGTTTTTCAGTTCTGCACCAAATCATAAAACAGAACGTCAGTCAGCTCTCTTTGCTATGACAGCATTTGGATTTTGTGAAGCTGGAGGGAGAGATTATACTATATGTAACAGTCTGGGAGGGGGCTTACTGATCACTTCTTTGTAAATGGATGAAATCCCATTGCTAGCTTCTTTTGCTCATTTCTGTAGGGCATTACAAAGCATTACAAACCACCACAGACCTTAGCTCAACAAGCCCATGAGCTTGGTGAAAGTATCAGTGCAACAGCAGGGACACTTAAAAGTAGGAGAGAAAAGATAGCATAGATACCATGAAGTGTTCATGAACTGTTCACCAGCAGAGTTCTTCAAGGCTGACAAATGTGTGTAGTGTGCTGGAGTGTGTATGACCTGTTGAGAAGACAACTGTTGCGGCGAGAGATCTGTGTTGTGGAGTAAAAAAAGAGGCTCTTAGACATCATAGACCTCCTCTTCCATGGCATGACCAACCTCTCCACAAAGCTGGTGGAAGGTGTTGCGCCTCAGGATCTCCCAGCCACGGTGAGAACTAGTCCTGGATGTGCTCCGTGACAATGAGAGAGCAGATAGTTCCTTTTTGCACAGGATGTTCCTATTGATTTCCAGCTTTTCCAAACCTTTGTCATGGTTATCCCTGTCCTGAGCCTTAAATGCTTCTGTGTACCGAATCATCTTGTGTTTGTTGGGATCAACCCTGTCTTCAACTCTGTAAGAGAATTAAAAAACATAAACCGAATGAAGTATAAATATGCCAGTTTATCAACAAAACCAAGCAGCCACAAGAAGCAAGCCTCTCCCAAAAATATGCCTACTGACCCAGACATTCCAGAAAACCTACACAGAAACAGGAAACTGATTATAGGCGTGGTGCTAGCACACAATTATCTCCTAGAACTTCATCCCCATCATTGACTTCAGTACCCTTATCTGCCTGTGGTTTCCTGCCCTTCAACTCATGTCCTAGTCATGATTTGCCCTTTCCATTTTGCCAGCTGTAAGCTATTGGCAGACCTATGCCACCTGACTCTAGCTCCCGATCCTTTTTATATACAAGTATATTCATACATTTCCTTTGTTCTTGTCTTTCCTCCTCTGATACTCCATGGTTGCTAGCCTCAGGATGTCACTTATCTTTTGCTGAACTTCTATTTAACTGCTCCACTTCCACCAACCCTTCTCTACATTACTTATAACTTGCACCCTGAAATACCATCCTACACTATATACAATGAACACACATGTAATTTGACAGAACTAGATACATCAGCACTCTTTTCTTATAGCATCCAATGAAGAATTGTTGCTGGGATATTGCTTTTGCAAAGTTATATTCTGCACCTTGGACTGAAGGTCTTGCATATTGGTACCACTTTAGGTCTGCTTGTTCTGCCCAGCAAATCTGAAAATGCACAAAGTCCTGTTTCATACAGGCACCACTCCCTCTTCTGGCTTTACCAGCAAAAGATGACACAGTTAGAAAAGACACATGCCCAAACAAAGTTTAGTCTTTTCTCACCTTGGTATAAATATTGATTAAAATCAGAAATAATGAGGAACCTAGTATTATCCAGACTACAGATAGTTTGTTATTTCTGTGCCTAAACTGAAATCCTGGATCTAAGACTTTACCCCCGATACAGTCTTTGCAAAGTATAATATAGTTACTAGGTTCACACCAGAAAGAAACCTTGCCTTTAATTATTCCTGCTTGGTTTTTGAATCATCTGCAGTGCAGTTCAGTGCTGCTGAACGCCTAATTGATTGATTCTGTCTCTGCCATTTAGTGCTTCTAATAGGTAGGGAGAGCCAACCAAACATAGCAGTGAAGCTTTGTGATATTCATTATAAGAAGTTTGAAAGAAAAATTCAGGCCTTATAACCCATGCAATTCCTGGGGTCTACCTCCTGTGACTACTGGTTAAGAAAACATCAGCTGATTTCACAAGGAATTGCACAGCAGAGCTTTCTGAGGGGAACAGTGCTTGTCTATCAATCACAGGCCGAAAACAGATTGGGGTCTGTATTCTGGAAGGGAAGGACTCCAAACACTCCTCCCCAGGCCACTGGAAAGGCTCTTTATTAACATCCATACGTCGGATTCTTCTTCTGTGATCCTTATGTGCACACACTAGAAGAGAACCTACCTGAGATACCATCGGTCCCCTAGACCATACTCCAGCCCACAGATTCCAGAGCGAGGCCAGAGACACCGTGGCAGTTTCCGCTCCAGCATGACAGTAGTAGCAACCACCTTTAGGAAAAAAAAAAAAAAAAAAAAGAACGAACATGGATGAATTAGAAAAAATCACCCTCTTTCAAAACTGTCAGTTTCATGAGTACTGACTCATTACTGTATTTCATTACAGCTCCATATGTAATGAAGAAAAATCATTTATTATAGGGCAATACACTATTTTAGTCCTAACTGTGCCATGTTTTGAGGAAGCAGTGGTGCTCTTAAAACACAGTTAAATTTCTTTCTTTTTATACCTGATGGCAACAAGTAGGGTAATTAATTTGCAAGCTAGAGAAGAGGACAGTATTTATACCTGCATTAACTATCAGCAGAACTTACCAATATGGGCACACAACTACATTTAACCATTTGACTTACTGCTTTCTCACAGGAAAATGCTAGGAAATGGATTTCCTGTTGAGCAGCTAATAACTGATCTGGTTGAATTTTTTTTGCCTTTTGAGCAAGAGAGTCAGGCCAGCTCTTAATGGATCTAAAGACATTACTGACCTACTTGTAATCATTACCTTGCATTCTATCTCCTCTCAGTCAATCCCTATAATTTAACTCTCAGTTACACAGAAATGTGATTTGTAAAAACAGATGCAACTTTAATTCTATTTAACAAGAGATTCCATGCGTAAGGAACAAACAGCTAGGGAGACACAGGATGGACAAGAAAGGCTGGATGGGCTTCTACCTGCTATTTGAAATAAGGTAGGAACACCTGCATAGCAAAGATAATACCAAAAGACAGTTTCACATGGGAAGATGTGCAGAAGAGTAGTCTTGCACTTAGACACTTCAGACTAATAGAAAGGATGAAAGAAATTTCGTGGCTGATGTACAGAAGCTGTAAAACAGAATTAAAAGGACATGGCTTATTGTATTAGCCCCTGAGAAAAGTGAAGGCCAAGGAAAGGTTGTAAAGTACCTCCTTTAGAGCACGGATGGCAGAGTACGTATACTTACCTACTCTAAGTATGTGTCTAGCACAGTTTCCCTGGACAACTTTTCCCCTTCTTTATTCAAAGCAACCCCCCTACCACCTAAATTAGATTACCTGGGCTCTCCAGAGCTCATCCCGCTCATGGGCCACTCTCCAGTGGGTGTCACCCATCATGGCAATTAACAAGTTGAGCATAAGGAGGGTGGCAATGATGGCGAAGGCAAAGTATACCACGCTGTACATAAAGGGCAGGTCCACATCATAGTTTGCAGGGCCATCAATGATAGTGAGGAACAGCTCAAAGGTGGTGAACAAGGACATGGGATAGTTGTAGAACTGCCCAAGGTTTTCAGGGTTCTCTGTCTGGAAGATGATGTAAAAAGCTAGAGGAGAGCAACAGGGGCAGGGGGAGAGAGAGTTTAACAACAGAAATCACATTTCAAGAGCAACAACAGAGTCCTATAAGAAATGCTGACAACACAAAGTGGTCTGGGAAGGAGCTGCATGTGTTTCTGTGCTAGTGCAGTAAAACCAGCATAACAAGGACAAATCCCTGACTAGGATCACTGGTGTCCATTATAAAATGACTGAGAATTACTTTGATTATTTGTTTGTTCTCAAAATAGTGATCTTTTCTTCTTCAAGGATATAATAAAGCTGTGTGTGTTAATCTCATTTTCCAAAGACAAATTATCATAAATGCAGCATGTTTTTAAACCTTGACTTACATATACGTGGAATTATCTGGATTGTCCTAATTTCTATTACCCTGGAAAGGGCAAGAATTGAAAACCAAATTCATGAGAACAGAAATCAGTACTGTAAAGTGACCATGCTCAAAGAAATAGAAGCTATACATCATCACCACCTTTGCCAGCTAACTCAAAGGGCAACCTGAGAATAAATCAAAACCCATGCACTTAATTCATACTAATGAAGTTGGCAGGGGTAACGTAATGCTGTTTTCCTTTTGGAGACTCACCTGATGCAAAGCCTAGTATCACCACAGCCATGAGCCAGCAAAAGCGCATAAGATCTCCAAATATCATCTGTAGAGCAAAGACAGAGCCACCATAAGGCCCAGCTGTCCCACCAAGCCACAGTGCAACCCTATGTAAACCATTTTCCAGATTCTAAGAGCATGAGTGCACTAAAGGAAACTTCTTCACTAAAGAGAGAATGTGAAAGTCCCAAAACTTCTGTGCAAACAAAGACTTGTCCATTTGCCATTAATGCTAGTCCTGAGGAAGAAAAAGTATTCTTTCAGTACTCCATATCTGCAAAAAGGTGTCAGGATGTGTGCAACAAGCCTGTACTTGTTAGTGTCTTATACCTTCTGGATCATGATGGTAAAGGGTCCAAGCATCTGGAAGCCTCGTGCGAAGTACATGACATTGCACCATCCTAGCACCAGGGCAAAGGACATGGGCACCACCTCACCAGTTGTGCTGGTGAGACGCATCACCATGGTTACTAGAATCATGCAAGCATATGTGATGCTGAAAAGGAAGAAGAGACAGTGAAAATAGTTCAGTAAAGGAATCTTACCCTCCTTTTTCTTTTCAAAAATTCTAATACAGGCATATATAGCCACCAGGCCCATAGGCAGAGACCTCTCAGCACTATCAACTTTACCTGTCCACTCCCCTGGCTTCCTACACAGCGGTTGAGCCAGTAAGAGAAGTAAATCAAGAGAAGGAATACTCCAAAAGAATGGAGAAAGTGATTCATCTGGCAAAAGACAGCAGTGGGGAAAATGAGAGACAATTAATTTTTTAGACTTAAAAAGTGGTGTACTTACACAATTATGTGAAAAGGCCCTCCTAGGATGGTTTGTCCAAAGTATTTTGCTGCTCCAACTCTAAGGATATCTGGGATCTAAGAGAGACATCCTATTGACCTTCGGACTTAGACAGATTCCATTACACTATTGAATGTCATGGTAACCACCAATATTCACAGGATCTTGGGGTCAGCTGCATCTGCTTTGTTTGCTGGTTCACAGTTTGATTTCTCTATTACTTCAAAAATTGAATGATTGAGTCAGGTGTGCCCTCTTGGGATGTGACAGAGATTCCAGGAAAATCTAAGAACACTTGTGCAGATTGAGAGATTTTGGTATGTGGAGAGAGATGTTGCAACACAAAGCTGTGAGCCTGAAGTTCATATAGGTTACTAAGAAGACAGCAGACAAACAGGTGAGTCTCAGAAGTGAAGCCAAAAAAGACCTTCTTGGGGAATCAAAGGGGTTTGTTATAATTCAGACTCACTGTGTTAGTTGTAGTGTAGCCCCAGAGCCCTGACCAAACACAAGAAGAAGGACCTGTCCTTCTGGAACATATACGGGCAGAAAGAAAGCTGTTTACAAGGCCCATTTTACTTCAGTTCACCCTGGCATAGTCATTTGAGTTTTGGCATATAAAAGTTTTAGTCTTCTATTTCATGTTATAATAAAACCAAGTGGGGGATGGATTTGTTTTAATTAAAAGAATTTTTGCTTTTTTTTTCTTTTGAGAGTTTATGGTAACAACAACACCTAAACATGTCCACCTCAGAACTCTGGTTGAGTAAGGCTCCTTTTATATGCCCACACAGTCACTGATCTCCAATTAAATATAAACTTTTCTGTGTACACACAGAAATCACTTCAGCCAGCACCCCTAAACAAATGAGTATTTAGGGGTGCTGGGTGAAGAATCTCTAAGAATCTTGTGCAACACTTGGGATTCAGCTGGACCCACAGATGGTGCTAATGGGAACTGTGGCACTACCCTGCAATAGTATTTGATCGCGTGGCCAGTCCTTCTAACCGTTTCTTCCACACCTGGAGTCTCACTAGTACATTATCACAGTCTCTGTTTCATCCAATAGATACTGTTGACAGTGTCTATTGCCATAGGCATATATCAAAGCACTTAGACTAAGCAAATAACCCCTACCAAGTTGTGAGCACAAACTCATGTTTGTCTAGGAAGCAAAATCTGTCTTGATTAACCTTGAAACCATATAGCTCACTGTTTCTCTTACCTCAAGGATCAAAATTACTACAGCTCCAATGACTGTGATCAGTTCCCCCACCAGCCTCAGCTCATCCTCATATGTCATATATGATTCCTGAAAAAAAAAAGTGAAAGGAAATTAAAATTAAATTTTAAAGGGAGTGAAAGGAAATTAAAAAAGAGAATAGGGGAAAAGAAGGCCCACTGTTAGTGTAATAAACATGACTAGGCCTGACAAGGCTACAGGAACCAGCCCAGCCCCAGCAACAGAGAACAGATCATGCCCCATGTTCCTCACTGACAAAGGGCAGCTGGCAGAAAGAGAGGAGGACAGCTGCAATAGCTGGCAACTGGGAAAGACTTGGACTTCCCAGTTGAGTAGGTTAGATTAGAATTGCCCAATGCTGCCTATGGGGCCCTAACTCCTATAGACACAGTACCTGCAGCATTTTCTGGACATAGATTGTATTGTCTCTGCTGCTTGTTTTGTTGCCTATTCGGGGCTTCAGTGGTCGGTAGACGCAGCACATAGTGAAGCAGACCATGTAGAGTATATAGAATAAAGCCAGGAAACAGAAATAGGGACGACCATACATATTCCACTTCAGGCTCACCAGCTCCTTCACAGGTGTTAGGTCCAAGATCTGGCGTGCCTGAGAAAAATAGAAAGAAGGAATTAATTGCCATAAGGACATTTAAGCATCATTCACACTGTTTCCTGGGAGAATGTTAACAAACTATTCTCACCTATGCTATGCAGCATTAGGAAGTTGAATTTATTTTGCAAAAATTGAATGCTCAAGTGCATTTGGATTTGCTCAGTTTGCCAGTAAAGAGCTTTGAAAAAAAGTAAAAAATATATCCTGCAGAGAACAACTTTTGAATACCAGTGGGAAGTGCAAGAGAAGCATGCTAGATACTGGAATAATTGTATTGTCTGTGTAGGCCTGGACACATATAAACACTTGAGACAGACCTATGATCTAGGTCCATGAATGCAAATATATGAGGATGTGTTACAGAAAATACAAGATATTATTGATTTATTTATTTTTTATTATAATATCAAGATATATACATACTAGGGGTGGGTTAACTTTACAGTATCAGAAAATTTATAAATCCCTTTACAGTGTCAGAAAGTTTATAAATCCTTTCCCCTGCACTGGAGGGAAGAATCGTCTCCTATCATACAATTCCATTTCAAAAACTAACATGAAGAACCCAGAAATTTTCTCAAGTGCTTTCATGGTCGATTTGGTTGATTTGCACACATGCATATAAAGGACAAAGAAAATACAGTGAGATGATATGGAAAAAAAAAATTCAACATATTTTCCTCTGTTGAACATTGCTAATCAGAAAGTTTATAAATCCTGTGAACTCTAGGGATTCAAGTATGTACAAAACTACTTCAATTAATGAATTGTCTTTTACTGTAACTGGAATAAATTTTGAAGAATATTTTGTGTTAATGAAGACAGCACAGTGCACTTCACAGCAGACAGATACACTCCTCTGTGCAAAATATATGTCATTATTAGAACACAGAATTGCAAATAAGGTAATTTGGATTATATTTTCAGCTACAGAAAAAAGTTTCTGCGCAACCTTGTGAAATGCATTTAGATTTTTTTCTCCAAATTAAGAGTTCTGCATTTATACATGTAAGTTAACATTGGTTTCAACAGCTATTTCTTATCAACTTCAGTAGCATTTGTGGAAACTCTTTATCTCTAGGAAACATATCAAAAGGTCCTTTAGACCATTAGCTCTCTGAAAAACTCACACTGATATTACCTTGATTTAGCAGCCAACTAGGCAATAGGGTCCTACAGACTGCCAATCAGCTCACCTAAGATCTAAATTGCTCTCTGGAGATACTTAGTTACTTGCATTTCTTTATCGACCACATGTAAAACTTAGGGAATCTGTATTCCTTAACTAAACACCTCAGTTGGTGACAAAAATTAGATGGGATGAATCTAGGCCAAGTGCACTTCTTTAGCTTGATTTGTCCAATAGGAACACACAATATTGTTTGCAAAAAAGCAATCACTCTCAAGCCCACCCAAAACTAGACGCTCTGCTTAGTATACTAGTCTGTGAAGAAAGAATGAACCACATGGGAAAGATGTTAATTTTAGTAAGTAATGCACATGGGGATGTATTCAACACTGTAGTGACAAGAGCACTATGCTGATGAATAAAATGGAAGACAGAATATTAGGGTCATTATAACTGTTTAGGATCCATTGCCAGTCTGGAAGAAATCAGTATAGCTGAACTGAAGCTATAATTGTAATGGTTTCCTGCAGTTGAAGAGTGAGCCTGTAGTCCTTCGCCTGTCTTCCCTACATGAAAGTGTAATTTCTATTGATGTAAGCAGAATATGTAAATACTGAAAGTCTAGAAACAGGACTATGGCTGGTATGTTTGTGAAGGATCAAAGTGTGCTTTGTAGGTCAAGGGGCTCAGTCTACTCCAGAGACAGTCAAAAGCAGTTCTATTCAGCTACTTTAAGACAGTCAGTATTATTTCACTTGCAGTTTCTCTACCTATAAAAAAGGGAAGAATTTATTTGGCTATTCTCACAGAACATATGCAGGGTTCACATGAGCAATAAGCTACTTTTCCAAGAATCCTTTCTGAGGTTGCCAACTGAGCCCCAAAATGTCAACAAGGCCTTTTCTGTAAAAGGGAAACAAAGGCATGTATATAATTGATGGGAAATTATCCTCAGTTCTGATGCATAAAACGGAAGACTAACAACTAAAATTTATCTGATAAACCTTTGAAATGTTTTTTGGTGTGTGGGAACATAGAACTGAGGATGACAGAATATTCCTGTTAGTACAGCAATACACATCTTTTGTATCAGATGATTTAGGATAAGAAAATTGCAACATTTTTCCAAATGAGATTAGCACTTGTCTAAAGCTCCATGGCTTATGTAAAAATATTACTTTTTAAGTTTCTGCATTATTATCTGGGTGATACTTAACTGAATCATCTATATCAAGCCTTCAGCTTCTGCTAGAAGACTGGCGCTTAGAGCATAAGTAGGACAAACAGGGTGCTCTTTACACTTTATTCAGTGCTTCTAGACCTACTTTTTATTGTAATGTTTAGGGGACCACTGCAATAAGCAAGGACACATAAGTCAAAGTGGCATGAGTGGGTTACTTTAAAGGAAAACTTCTTATTGCACTCTATAGATATTTTCCTTCTTTCGCTACATTGCCCTGTTTCTTCTAAGTGAGCCAAAGACAGATTGCACAAAGTGCAAGGAATATGTATGTTTCAGTAAATGGACATGACTCTTGAATGGCCTAATAAATACCCTAAAGGATCAAAAAGAAGTAAGAGATAATGAGCCTAGCTAGATGGCTGTAGGAATTCTGTTTTGTGTATAAGTCAGTATTCAGGAATTCTTTGCATAGCAGAGTAAATTTCATTTTCAAAAGGATGATATATCTTTAGAAGCTTACTATAATCTTCCTGTAGCTTTGTTCCCTTCTATTTTTGCCACTTTTCATCTACTTAAGGGTCAGAAAATATATATTAGTACCTATTTGTGTATGCAACCCCCTTAATACAAGAGCAACATGCTTCTGATTGGGGCCTAAAGATGCTACTCTAGTCCAATACTGGACTAGGAGGGTATGAGAGGGTGGGGTGACACATTGCATTCTTCTAGAGGAGACAGCAAACATTTTTACCAAACATATATCAAATACAAAAAAGAATTACTATTTATGCATGCAAACATTGCAATTACTTGTATTTAAGAGCATTCTGGAAAATAAAGAAATAGTTATATCTCATGGTATTTGGGGACATCTTATCCTCTGAAATTAGGAACCTTGGACCTGCATGCACTATATGTTTTGGGAGAAGACAGAGGCACAATATTCTTCTTTCTTTTAGGATTATGGTTTAGTCTTCTGGACAACTTCTAAGGTTGTTCTATTTTTTTGACATAGACTTCTTTCCTCTGAATTTCCATATGTATTGCCCCACATAGAAATTTAGAAGATTTTAAATAAAAGCAAAGGGGAGTTTCACAGACTTCCTCCACATTGTGCAAAGTTCTCCAATAGCTGAAACTTTTGTTAGAGAAGTTTGACTAAAATTTTGGTAGATGGAAATGATACAGGATGGGTAGAATTGTGCTAATTACAGTGCCTTCTGATTCATTTCCTGGCCTATCAGGATTATTTAAGGTGATGACAAGTGACAGGGTAGTGTACCTTGAAAGTGTTAAGCAGATCTGTCTAAGCCTGCCATTACAATCTGCTATTTTTATCTTAGTGATCCCTTTACAAGTTTTTGAGCCTACAGCAGAGATAATTCACCTACTTTGTTTTGAGTCAAAACCTGGACAAGCAATGTCATTAAATGAAGGGAAGAATAATAATGAGTGGTTTTAAATGCACTCCAGTTTAGGATTTCTGAACATAGTTGTGTCTCACATGGACATTGTGAGAGTTAATCAGTATCACAGTTATAGAAAGCTACTTGCTAGAGCTACTCTAGAGCTACTTGTTACTGATAGAGCTACTTGTTACTGATATCTTTGAGCCTGGTGAAAGAAAGAGAACCCTTTACTGAATCACAGAATGTCACTTCCTGTAGCTTGCTCACACTAAGTTCTTCCAGTCACCTGCAAGTTTCATACCTCAGAAGAAACTGTGTGTAAATCATCAGATGTAGCCAGATCATTAAAAAGCTGCTATATTTCATGTATTACCTGCAGCACATGGTACAAAGTCCTTGCTCTATGGACAATATAAAAGAGCTTGAACGTTCAAACTCATCATTCTTCTCCTTTTATAATCACCATGGTCTGCACATAGAAAGCACGTGGTGCCCACAGTACCTCTCTCTTCTTGGTTGAGACAATGAGCTCAAGGAATGACTGATCTTCAGCCCAGGAGTCAATCTCTGTGAGATCGTAGAGCACAGTGGTCAAGGGGCCAAAGGACCAGAGATTGTGCTTCCGCTTCTGCATAAGGTATTGAAACATCTGAGGAGGAAAGAAGGGGGTGGAGGATATCAGAAGCTTTCCAGTATATAGTGTATTTGCAATGAAAACAAAGGTGTTAAAAACCCTTAATTACAATGTACTAAGCATCTTCGTCTTTTCGTTAAGGGGAAAGATGAGAATTTACATTAAATATTGAGTTCTTGACTATGAATAAATGTCTGTGGATACCTGAAGAAGTTTCCTGTGTGCCACATTTAGGGTAATGAAATCTAGACAACAAAAACAATAATTTCAGTCAGACTTTTAAAAAATTACTTGGAGTGGATCTTTCTGTTAATACCTGTTTAACTCAAATGCTTCAAAAATTGGGTCAAAAGATCTATTCTTTAAGCACTCGTTTCTTCCATTAGGATAAAGAAATTTCTTATACAGGTTTTCTGGTCCTACATGAGACTTCTGGCAAAAAAAAAAGAAGGACTTGTTATGTATCTTCTATCCACTTAGAACATGCACAAACTCGCTTGGTCTGGATGATGTTACTTCAAGTCTCCGTTTGTGAATAACCTCTTTCCC